ACTGAAAAGCTTTCATGTGTGTTTTAAAATTTTATTTTAGCTCCCTTTCCAAAGATCCATCAAGAGAAATTTGAATTGAGCTTTACCTTTTTTGGGCGTTAGTGTTCACAAATATCAGAAGGCACCACAGAATCAGAGAAGCCACATCCTATTGCTTGCTGCCCTATGTCCCCCGAGAGGACAGATCAGACCAGGTTTCTACGTGAACTTGACGAACTCCTTTGTAACCAAGTATGACCATTAGAGGGAGTCTAAACCTTGTGAGAGCATAAAACTCTTGTGAGGAAAGGAGAAACTGTATGAAAAGAGTAGCAGAGCACAGATTCTCTTCTTCAGGGTTTAATTTTGCTAATTAAAAAAAATGTTATGCCCGGGAAACGATATGCCTATTTCCTGAGAGTTCATGGAATTAGCCCTACGGGGGTTCCTATGAAACATAGTTAAACTGACTCCTATTAGTAATGACTATATTTATGCTGATTTTAATAACACAGTTAGAATGAGTAGATCACTTACTAGTAATAACTCAGTTATCATCAGTAATATCAATCATGTTTCTATGAGAGCAGAGAGACATGTGCAACAGGCTATGTCTGGGGACACCAGGAGAGGCCGGGTGTGCTTTGCAGAGGAGACAGGAGGTGATTCTGAGGAGTCAAGCCAACCTGGGCTCAGCTGCCCTCTCTGGGCTCCCTGGGTCTGAGGGGGCTGGGGGCTGGGCCCCGGTGCTCATCAAAGGCTCTGCAGGGGCTGCAGATCTGCTGATTTTTACTTAGCTTTTTCATGAGCCATGAGGAGAGTGTTTCTGAGTTTAGCTCGTTACCCTTAAATGAATGGACAGAATGGGCATGAAGAAGCTGGGGAAGCCGACAGCTTTGAGAACTGGCCCAGCATAGAGAACCCACTGAGTTATGCTGCATCACATGCCNTTGTTCCAGAAAGAGAGATAGCAGAGACCCATTTCCTTTGAATAAAACAATGCAGGTTGAAAAAAATGACTGTTCAAGCCATTCCTCACCTTACTTTCCCCAAAGACCTTATTTCACTTACTATTCTGTTTCTACCTCCCAGTGCAGGCTCGTTTCCGTATGTTTCAACGTGCATATTTAGGAATCCAAGTAAATGATAAACTACTGATCAGTGGGCATTAATTCTATTCTTCCTTGAATTCTTCCAGGCATCAAGCATAGAACTCAGAACCTAGCAAGGGGCATTGTAAATACTACGTGATCTATTTAGTGAATGGCAAGACCCTGCCCACAATTAACTAGGTCTTTCTTTCTCATTTCTCCCCATCCTCACCCATTCTCTGTGACTTCCTTCCTCCTCCCATGGCTCTACCCTTCCTTCGCCCCAGGCCAAAAGAGGGAAAAGAGGAAGTTCATGATTTAGCCCATTTGCAAGTGTTTTCAGAAACAACCCTCTTTAAGACTTTAAAAAACCAGGTTAAAATCTCCCAGAATCCCTTACAAGGGTCCTGAGGCTCAACAGTTATCCCCTTAATTTTGAGTGATAGAACCAACCTAGCAGGTTGGTTATGAGAGCTCTTTGCCTCAGTTTCCCCATATGTATAACGGGGTGAAGAGCACCTGCCTCAAAACTTCTCCAGAATAATATGGTGAGATAATGTTGTAGCATGCACTGCAGTCCTCAGATGAAAGGTACCATATAAATGACAAATGCTATTAAAATCCCTTGACTTATGCAAGGTCATGGAAGCTTCATTGCTTGCGATGTTCAAAGCAAGACAGGTGAAAGGACAGGGGGCTGCACCTAAGGGCTTCTTGGCACTGGGACCTGGCAGCTGCTCATGAGAATTCAGATCTGTATGTGAAGCAAGGTCCTAAAAGCAATTCAGCACTGGTTCCAGAGGATGTTTTAAAATGCTTTAAAAATCAAAAAAATAAATTTATAAAATAACGGACCTTGGTCACTAAATCCAATAGTATAGAACTCTGGTAATAAGGCCACATTCTTGCCTACTATACCTAGCTGGGTCCAAGAGGCTGGCACGCTTCCTGGCAGGATGTAGGAGAGGAAACGGAAGATCAAGTGGAAAGTTGAACTAGGTGAATGTCAGACTCTCTTATACCTCTGAGTCTAACGTCTGACATCCATTTGTAATTTCATGGCTTTTCCGATTCAAGCATGAAAGTCTTACATTTCCACATCTGTACTGAAGTTACTGAAAAGCTTTCATGTGTGTTTTAAAATTTTATTTTAGCTCCCTTTCCAAAGATCCATCAAGAGAAATTTGAATTGAGCTTTACCTTTTTTGGGCTTTAGTGTTCACAAATATCAGAAGGCACCACAGAATCAGAGAAGCCACATCCTATTGCTTGCTGCCCTATGTCCCCCGAGAGGACAGATCAGACCAGGTTTCTACGTGAACTTGACGAACTCCTTTGTAACCAAGTATGACCATTAGAGGGAGTCTAAACCTTGTGAGAGCATAAAACTCTTGTGAGGAAAGGAGAAACTGTATGAAAAGAGTAGCAGAGCACAGATTCTCTTCTTCAGGGTTTAATTTTGCTAATTAAAAAAAATGTTATGCCCGGGAAACGATATGCCTATTTCCTGAGAGTTCATGGAATTAGCCCTACGGGGGTTCCTATGAAACATAGTTAAACTGACTCCTATTAGTAATGACTATATTTATGCTGATTTTAATAACACAGTTAGAATGAGTAGATCACTTACTAGTAATAACTCAGTTATCATCAGTAATATCAATCATGTTTCTATGAGAGCAGAGAGACATGTGCAACAGGCTATGTCTGGGGACACCAGGAGAGGCCGGGTGTGCTTTGCAGAGGAGACAGGAGGTGATTCTGAGGAGTCAAGCCAACCTGGGCTCAGCTGCCCTCTCTGGGCTCCCTGGGTCTGAGGGGGCTGGGGGCTGGGCCCCGGTGCTCATCAAAGGCTCTGCAGGGGCTGCAGATCTGCTGATTTTTACTTAGCTTTTTCATGAGCCATGAGGAGAGTGTTTCTGAGTTTAGCTCGTTACCCTTAAATGAATGGACAGAATGGGCATGAAGAAGCTGGGGAAGCCGACAGCTTTGAGAACTGGCCCAGCATAGAGAACCCACTGAGTTATGCTGCATCACATGCCACCTATTGCTCTTGTTCCAGAAAGAGAGATAGCAGGGACCCATTTCCTTTGAATAAAACAATGCAGGTTGAAAAAAATGACTGTTCAAGCCATTCCTCACCTTACTTTCCCCAAAGACCTTATTTCACTTACTATTCTGTTTCTACCTCCCAGTGCAGGCTCGTTTCCATATGTTTCAACGTGCATATTTAGGAATCCAAGTAAATGATAAACTACTGATCAGTGGGCATTAATTCTATTCTTCCTTGAATTCTTCCAGGCATCAAGCATAGAACTCAGAACCTAGCAAGGGGCATTGTAAATACTACGTGATCTATTTAGTGAATGGCAAGACCCTGCCCACAATTAACTAGGTCTTTCTTTCTCATTTCTCCCCATCCTCACCCATTCTCTGTGACTTCCTTCCTCCTCCCATGGCTCTACCCTTCCTTCGCCCCAGGCCAAAAGAGGGAAAAGAGGAAGCTCATGATTTAGCCCATTTGCAAGTGTTTTCAGAAAGAACCCTCTTTAAGACTTTAAAAAACCAGGTTAAAATCTCCCAGAATCCCTTACAAGGGTCCTGAGGCTCAACAGTTATCCCCTTAATTTTGAGTGATAGAACCAACCTAGCAGGTTGGTTATGAGAGCTCTTTGCCTCAGTTTCCCCATATGTATAACGGGGTGAAGAGCACCTGCCTCAAAACTTCTCCAGAATAATATGGTGAGATAATGTTGTAGCATGCACTGCAGTCCTCAGATGAAAGGTACCATATAAATGACAAATGCTATTAAAATCCCTTGACTTATGCAAGGTCATGGGAGCTTCATTGCTTGCCATGTTCAAAGCAAGACAGGTGAAAGGACAGGGGGCTGCACCTAAGGGCTTCTTGGCACTGGGACCTGGCAGCTGCTCATGAGAATTCAGATCTGTATGTGAAGCAAGGTCCTAAAAGCAATTCAGCACTGGTTCCAGAGGATGTTTTAAAATGCTTTAAAAATCAAAAAAATAAATTTATAAAATAACGGACCTTGGTCACTAAATCCAATAGTATAGAACTCTGGTAATAAGGCCACATTCTTGCCTCACCCGTTCCTAACTCCTGTCCCTTTTTCCTAGGGCAGCCACTTGTCATCTTTTTACTGTTTCTTTTGGGGTTACTTCTCATATCTCTAAATAAAATGTTTCTTCTCCTGTTTTTTGATTGATTAATCTTAGAAATCAGTTATGGAATTCCTGCCTTCAATCTATTATAATTTTATCACCCTCCATCCCCATTCCCTGAACTTTTCGATTTTGCCATATTGCCATTCCATTTCTTTGATCCTTTGAAACTTAGCCATAAACTCACGACTCTAATTCTGGTGTAGTCAGAGACACTTTGACTGTCCACCTGGCAAACGGGACATCTGCATCCTGGACTCTTCCTTTCCACTCTCTTTCCTGCCTCCCACTTCCAGGCTTCTATCATTTGAACTTCTACATTATCAAGATTGATAACACGTTCTGCTCTGAAACCATAACTGTATTCTGTGCTTTGTTTATGGGCTTAGTTTAAGAGTGGAAGATCATTTTAACTGTCGAGTGCAGAGTCTGATTTTGTACTTTGATTATATATATTTTCTCTTTAGCCTTTTCCTATAGTCTCTGATTCTTTTCTTTTTCTGATGCTGTTTGTTTTCATTACATCTTCAGTTGTTTTTAAATACTTGATCCGAATAGGTATTCTATTAAACATGTTCCGTCGGTGTCCCCTCCTGGGCCCCCCATCCTCTGACTCACTGCTCTCTGGGACGGCTCACTGCTTTGGTGAGCCCATCTCTCTCTGGTTCTTGGTTTACTTGTTTGCTGGAGCATAGCTTCAATAGCTCCCCCCAAAAGACGTATTATAAATACTTAAATGCCTAGAAATGTTTTTATTTTATCAACATAAGTGATACTTTGGGTAGAGAATTCAAGGTCGAATACCTGTTTCCTAAAACTTTGAGGGCATTATTGCACTGTCTTCTAGTTCCAACATAACTAGTATCCTTATGTAAAAAGGAAATTTGGACACACACAGACACACACCAGAGATGCGTGCACAAAAGAAAGACCGTGTGAGAACCTGGTGAGAAGGCGGCCATCCGCCAGCTGAGCCCAGCCTCGGGAGAAACCGATACTGCCAACATCTCGATCTTGGGTTTCTGGCCTCCAGAACTGTAAGAGAATAAAATTTTTACTCTTTAAGCCACCTAGTGTGTTACAACAGCCCTAGCAGACTAATACACTGGTCCAGTTCAAGGGCCAAATATAGAAATAAACAAATTTGAATTGGCTCCTTTTAATAAGGAGAATTTATGGGGTCACTTAACTAACAGTCAAGGGCGGTAGGCTGCCTTTGACCACGACTGAATTCAGGGAGCCAGCTCTAGAAAAAAGTCTTCTTGTGCTTTATTGGCCTCCTTTGAATGACATGTGCTGAGGCAGTCAGTGAGGCTAGGGACATGTGGTGCTCTGATAATCTAGTCCTGCTATTGCATCCCACAAATTGCATGAGTAAGGAGGGGAAAGGGGTGATTGTCTCCTCAGAGGGAATAAATGTGGGGGAGCTAAATGACAGCAAAGGTTTATACATGCTAGGTTAAATTGTAAATTTTGATTCTAACTGTGTCTGGCTGCAGAGGCATAGCCTCATTCAGTTCACATAATTTAATAGTGGGATAATGGTGAAAGGCAGTAGGATTTAATCTAATTCATATTTAGTGAGCATTTATTATGTACGTTGAAGATACGTAATGATGACAAGGCCCATTTTTTATCTTTAGTAAGTGTGTAAGTGGTCAGTGACGAGGGCAGAGTTTTGATCTGTGGCTGGGCGGGTCATCCTAGAGCACTTTTCCCTGAGCTCTGTCTTTGTTGTGGGAAGGGGGGTTATGGCTCCTCTCGTTCATCAGCCCTCCAAGGCTCCATGAGAAAGCTCTGGGAAGAGAAACTCATTTCAGAGAGTTTATTCATCACTAGCCCTCATAGCCTTAAAATTTTATTTCTAATACCACTATAGTCAGTGGACATGCCCATATGTTTTTCTTTGACTGGTGGCTCTCAAACTGATGGAGAGGGCAGAGAAAGTGGGACGCTTTCTTGTTCCAAAATCTCCTAAGACTTGAGATCTGAACACCCTTTCTAACTATCCTCAGGAAACCCATTTCTGGGTGTGGTTCCAGGTTCTACTCCTGACTGACTGCATAGCCTCTGGTCTGCAATTCCATGGCTCAGTGTCTTTGAGAAGAAGCCCCAACAAGACCTATTTCCTTCTCTAAGATGTTGAGAAATACAATTAGAGTCTTACTTGTCGTCTTCTCCTAAATTAATTTTTTTCCCACAAGCTGTCCTCACTGATCTCAGTTAGAAGGGAGGTGACAAGAATAACAAGAATAAGGATAATAAGAAAATACCAACAGTAACAACAGTAATAATAACACACCTATTGAATGCTTTTTTCATATCAAAAATTCTAAGTCATCATGTTTAGTATGCACAGCACTTTGTAGTAAGTGTTCTCATTACATTATCCTCATGTAACCTATGGGGAAACTGAGACATAGAGGGGCTATTCTGGGTTTGCCTCACTCTGGAGCCACTGTTTGCACCTGTCAGATGCCACTACCTTCCTCAACAGTGTGGAGTCAAAGGGCTTATGGACCAACATTCTGCTCTAGCCCAGGATTGCCCAACTTAAGCAGCCCGAGAACCAGAATTACTTGGGGGGGTTTAGAAAGAACCTTAGTGGTTCTGGAGCCTAACACTCAGTCTACAGAGGAGGAAATAGAGATAAAGAAATGGAGAGACTTGCTCAAGTTCACCCCTAACAGGACCTCTTTGTCAACAATGATTTCAAAACACCTTTCAAGTCAGTATCAGAACTCACTCGTTGTTAGTTAACAAAACGTTCTGCTCCCATGACATTGGTTTTCAGTGATAAATAGAAAAGCTGCAGGCACTTCTTTCTGATATTGGTGCTTCCCATTTCAAAAACCGAGTCAGACCCTTCATGCCAGCATGTTTCATCCAACACTTAAGCAGAATTTCCACTGGTTTGCACACGGCCTGGTCACTGCTCTTGCATGGTGGATGTTGTTTATGTCACCTGATGCTAACAGCGTCGTCTGATGTCGGAGTTTTGTCATTAGCTCCTCGACTTTCTCGTTAAGTGTCATACTGTTTTTCTGAACTTTGGGGTTGGTTTTAGAAGCTTTTGGAAATATCTAGTTTATTTATTTATCTTTGTTACAAGGAGCACAAGTTTGAGCCTTCTCTGTAGGCTTTTTCTCTTCTCTGATGACTAGGTTAATCAATTTATTTAAAAACAAGACCACTGGGCTTTGCTTGAGCATGGAACAAGAGCATCAGATGGCTTCGTATTTGAGCAGTTCTGTGACAGATTAAATCAACTTTTCAGGTTGGTGATGCTGGTATTTCACATGGGTCATTTTTCACCTGCTGTGGAAAATCATCCCATTCAGAGATCCACTTATCACAGTCTCCATTTATACTGGCTTCCTTTTCACTGATGATTTTATTTTGAAATGTAGTACTGCTTTTGCTATTTTGATCAGGACTTATATTTGAGGTCTCGATTCAATTTTCAAATTGGCAAAATATAATACCATAGTTAAAGTAAAAAATGCTAAAAATTTAACAATCATGAACAATGACATGCAAATGGAAAATACTTTAGCTGAAACAAACCAATTTTTATTAATTGAGTGCTGGTCCGGACAGAGCAATGCAGTCCCTGAAGAGCATGAGCAAACTTGAAAAATGTAACTGTTATTGGAAATGATGTAAGATTCCTGTGACAATATCGATCAATCCTGAATTTCCACATCTGCAAAATTATAAACATTTTAAAATTCATTGATTTCTCCCTGAAATTACCAAAGCACCTGAAGCCAGCTTGACACAGCACTGGCCAACCCCTGTGGCTGGGGGGACCCACTTGGAGAAACAATACTCAAAGGGTTTATTCTGGGAGAATCTTTTGTCTTCTGGGAATTCAACCATAAAAGTTAGGTTCACACCAAACATTCTTGTGGTCTTTCACAAAGCCATCTGAATTCAAGTAGAAACTGAAATCACCCCTTTCACAGCAAGATGGCCTTTGGTACCCATGTGGACCAGTATAGCACGAAGGAGAACAAAACACTCTTGCATCTGGCTGGCTTGGGTCCTGAAGATTCCACAGGATGTGTGTCACTTTCACCATTGGCTTTGGGCTGATCTGTGTCACCCCAAAGCTCATATGTTGAAGTCCTAACCCTGAGTACCTCAGCATGTATCTGGAGACAGAGGCTTTAGAGAAGTAACTGAGTTGAAATGAGGTCATGAGGGTGGGTCTTAGTCCAATATGACTGGTGACCTTATCAAGGAGGAGATTAGGATACAGACATACAGAGGGAAGACCATGGGAAGCTCCAGAGAGAAGACAGCCCTCAACAAGCTAAAGAGAGGCCTCAGAAGAGAACAGCCCTGCTGACTCCTTGTGTTTAGACCTCTAGGCTCCTGAATGGGGAGAAAATTAATTTCAGTTGTTTAAGCCACCCAGTCTGTGGTACTTTGTTATGGAAGCCTAAGCAAACTAATACACCCTTCAAGGATTTCACTTTGCAGTGGACCTGATGCCTGGAGGAAAACGGCAGTGTCTGGCCAAGGGGCTCATTGGTGAGCCCTGGAAACGTGGATGAGGTACCTTCATGCAGTTTCTAAGGTACCAGGACCTCAGAAGTTGACATCAGCAAAGCACAGGCTAGGGAGAAAGATGGATAGAACAGAGGATTTATGCAGTAGCTGGACAGGGCATGCTCATGAGCATGGAGGAGACATAATCTGGGAACCCCCAGATACTTGGTGAGAGCTTTGTGGGAGGCTGGGACCCTGTATTTGCACATGTGAATAGTATAAAATTCTATTTTTATACTCAGTATAAAATTATGACTAATATGATACATTAGGAAAAGTGGCATCTCATAATTGTTCAAATTTGCATTTATTTGGTAATTGGATTTGTAGCTTTTCTTTTTTCCAAACTGCTTCCTAATTATGGCTTGCATTTTGTGTGGCTTTTTGAGTAAAGTAGCACATATTTTTAGGAATCTGCTTATTTTATTTCTTTGCCTTTATGCTTATTGTATTCTTTTGTTTAATAGTTACACACACACACAATGAACACTTACTAAACTTTGATTCTGCTTTACATTTTTATATACAATATCTTAGAAACTGGTATAATATAATAATAAATTATTAATAATAACAAATATAATAGGCTCTCTTCACTCCTTTTCCCTAAGTCAAACTATTACTTCCTTCAAGATACAGCTCATGCACTACTTCCTCTATCAGGTATCAGTGGTGATAGTTATTCATTGAGCATTTATTGTGCTAAGTGTCTCTTACCCTGAGGTATATGTTTTCCACCCTTTCACAAATGAGGGAACTCAAAGAAAGACTGACTATAAATTGTTAAGATTACACTACCGTAACCAACTCTCCATTGTTGTGCTTTTAGATACTTTGCTAATTTTTCCAAACTGGTAAGTAATAAAATTAGGATTAAAAAAAATAACATATATTAAGCACTTACTCTGTGCCAGGGATTGTGCTAAATGCTTTACAAGGATTATTTCATGTAATTCTCACAACCCAATAAAATAGTGTATCTCTTTTACAGATGAGGAGACTAAAGTTCAGAAAGCTTAAATGAATTGCCTAAGATGGTGGAATTGGGATCAAACTCTGATCTCCCTGACCATGTCCCCTCACGCTAAGCTGAAACGATTATTTTCTTCATTCTGAATTCCTGTGTCATTTGCATACCTACCATCTGATTTCATCCTATATGTGTGTGTTTCGTTTTCTCATCTAGATTGTAAACTGTTTAAAGCTAAAGTATACAAGTGTTTTGTTCTGTCCCCAGCAGGATGCCTAACAAAGAGCTGGTGGACACCTATCTCTTGGTCAGTTGCATTGGATGGATGAATGGTGGGTGGATGGGTGCATGGATCGGTGGCTGGAGCACTTTTTGTTAGTAGATTTGGCAATAGTAGGCAGTTCAGTGGAATCCCTCAGGTGCCCATGGCTCCTGCAGAAAATTTAGGTCATTTTCACAAAACAGAGCAAGAGGCTGAGAACCTTGGGGAAGTTTTATGACAACAGAA